CGGGCCCAACTGAGTAGGTTTATCCTTCCCTACCCACCTGAAGACGGAGACAGATTCAGTCTCCAAAACGTCATGGTCTTTTGTCTTTTACATACCAGACAATGGATGAAGTCCAAAATAAGCCAAAAGAAGTAAAATTAAGTGGTTACCATTTATTTTCACATGCCATTGTTAATCATCTGCTGCAGTTTTGTTACAAATTGGAAATTGAAATTTTAATTTCTGAAAAATGCTTGGCATATATGTATTATAATTTCTTTTATCAATCAACATGAAATAAATTCATAATTACTCCCCCTAGTTCTTGTTCAATTTCAATTCCCATGTCTTGAAGAATCTGATAACTAAATCTGAGATAACATAATATGGAAGACGTAGCAAAAGCAACTGCACTTCCATGTGACCACAAAGAAATACACTAAATACCACAGTAGTTAAAATAACAGTTCTTATGTAATAATACTGAACTATTACTTCATCTAGTGTCGAGGTCAAGAATGGTCAAGGTATACCTCCACTGCCCTGTCTTCGTGCCACAGGGACTTTTCTTTACTGTGGAAGTTACTTTCCTTAGAATTGTCCAATAATTTTACTGTTCTCTCCCCAACTCAACTTTCAATGAAAAATACTATTTTGGAAAATGTTTACTATGAAATTTATTTCTCTTGGTACTAAAACACAAAAAGGAGTCAGGATAGTGCATTAGGCATAGCGGCTGGCCACAGGCTGGATGGCCGAGAAGCCAGAGTTGAAGTCTCAAAAGGGGCAAGATTTTCTGCTCTCCATGTCCTCCAGACCAGTTCTGGGTTCCACCCACCAGGGGCTCTTGCCAGAGGTAAAGTGGCCAAGACCTGCAGCTGGCCACTCACCTCCAACTAGTGCTGAGGTCAAGAATACACGGATCTATAGTCATTCTCCCATATTTCTTAATGACAGTGTTTAATTATTTACGCACAAGGATAACTTTAGCTTTACCTAAAACATAAAATAAGGTGAAAGTGCAAACTCACCCAGGCATGGGCAAATTGCGGATATCCTTGGCACAACCACTGATGGTAGGCTTCACCTCATCTTTCACCTGGTGTTGATCAGGTCCTACAGGGGGTACTCCAGCTGGATCCATCTGTGTTCCAACTTCCTGTGAAGATGAAGGTGCAGGTACTGGGGCCTGCATAACATTGTTGGCTGCCCCGTTAGCAATAGGTCCTGTACCATCTCCTGCTGCCCCTGGCTGTTGCTGTTGTTGATGCTGATGTTGTTGTTGTTGCTGTTGCTGTTGCTGTTGCTGCTGATGTTGCTGTGACAAGGCAACCTGGTGTGCAGCTGCAGCTTGCTGCTGGTTCAGCTATACAGAAGGAAACTCAGCATTCAGTCAGTGAAATCTTATGACTGGTATTTAATATAACATGTTCCAGTTTAATAAGCTGCAGAGGTCAGTAAACAAAAAATAACCAGAAACGATGAAGTTTCATTGAAATACATAAAAAGGGTAACTAACACAATTCATATAAAACATTTAAAGATAATTTTTGTTTTATATGTTTTATCAAAAGGTACATAAAAATGCCTGTTAACACTATGGAGTTCGACGTCTTTCAGAGAAATACAATCTGCATTATTTAAATTTGAGAGATTATACATTCAATAAAGGGAAAGAAATTCTGACTGTCCCACTAAAAAACCTAAAAAGTAAGTAAGTAAAGGTATCCCTGTAACAGGACGCAGAGGCCCATAGGGTTGTCGGATGTTGAGGTTCCCACATTTTCTAGACAATCGGCTCATAGTTGGCGGCAAGGTTGTCACCTTACGCACCGGCCACCCTTTACCCCAAGAACATTCCAAGAATATTCCTGGTACTCATTTCTGTTAGAGGCTGAGTCGACCCCAGGGTCATAGTTCGGCTGGAAGGATTAGGTCAACTGAAAAAATCCAATGACCTCAATGGGACTTGAACCCGCGACCTTCCGGCTTGTAGCATAGTGCCTCAACCAACTATGCTACTACTAATAATAAGTCACACAGTTAGTATGTTACACGAAATTAAAAAAAAAACACACATCTGGAAAATAAATTTACCACAACTGGAGTAAACTATAACATTTACACTACTTTCCATTTTCTCTAGATATGACAAACTGTACAGTATGAGTGTATCGTGATTCACAAGCTTTCAGTCTGTGTGCGCACCTATAGCCATGGTCCCTTCTACATCCTGTACTTCAAACTGATTTAAATAAGAGACACCCTATCTGGACGCTAGCAGACGTGCACATCAGTAGCAGAATGTGTCACATTACAGATATGAAATGGTATTTTAATGTGAAATTTTTAATTGTATACATACCATTTCTATACTAATAAAATGTTCTTTCAGTTTTAAATAAATAAATCAATAAAAAGGTCAAGTTACAACTAAAACATACTCACTCAGGAATATAACCCCCATTTTTATCATTATCTATTGAAATTATGGGCCACCTCTGTGGTACAGTTGGTCAGAGTTCCTGGCTACAGATCCAGAGGGCCCGGGTTCGATTCCTGTCCCTACCTGATTTTCTGAGAAGTAGTGGGTCTGGAATCGAGCCTCGTAAAGATAATTGAGGAGCTACTTGAATGGAAAAGCAGTGGCTCTGGTCTAGAAAACTGAGATTATGGGCCGTGGCAATCTACTGCGCTGACCAAGTGACACCCTCTAACCACAAAAGTTGGTGCTAACATTTCCGACAAGTGGCGGTCGTTTGGTCGGTATAGTTCGCTTGCGGACTAAAAGCCACGGACTTTTTTCTATTGAAATAAAAATCCTCAAGGTACAAGTTTTCACATTCTACAACACTACCAACAACTACTCTGAGGTGTTTCTGCACATGGTTACAAACACCCGTACCTGTTGCAACTGCTGCTGAGTTAGCTGTGTAGCCATGGCCTGATGCTGTTGTTGCTGTTGTTGCTGTTGCTGCTGATGTTGCTGTTGTTGTTGCTGCTGCTGCTGAGCTGCTAACTGCTCATTGGCTTGCTGCTGAGTCTGTGCTGCAACTGCAGCTGCATTCACCAACTGAAGATCGCACTGCACCTGAGAGGTCACATGGCAAGTTTCCAGGTGGAGGGATACAACACCATCATGTGTGTTTGAAATTGTTATGCATGTGCACAGCATGCACGCAATATACATCATGGCAATCACTCTTAACCATCCATGGAGATTTACTTACATATCTAATCCCACTGTAAATTACAAGGGGTTGTCACAAAAAAATTTACAACTATCGAAGCCAATACCCAAACCAGACTTATTGATTATGCCTAATCAAGATTTAGGAATTCATTATACTTCTTGCCACTTTACAGAAGTCAACATGTCTGTGAAAATAAAGTCTGTAACGCATTCACCGTTGCCAAACACAGAGCCCATACCCAAAATTCTAAAAGATTATACTTCCTGAACCAAGGTAACTTAATTTTTTGACACTGTGGTAGCAATTACTAAACTGTGAAGCTTCAGCCCTCCAGAGCAGATTTTACTAAGTAATGTAACACCATCATCAGGTTCTTAATGTGACTATTCACTGATAAATCAGAATTGCCTTGCTTTTCAGCATAAATCATCAAGCAAGTCATATAAAGACAAATAAGACAGAACAAAGCAGTAATTAATACACTGTGGATAAACACAAAATCCACAGTAAATAAAATTGTACCTGGGCTTAATTAAATTAAGCACCAAGCCTTGAAGACATATGGGGAATAGAAGTATAGCATCAGCATTCTTGACCTTGACACTAGACAGAAGTGACTGGTCAGCTTCACTCCTTGGCCGCTTTACCCCCAAGGAAAGAGCCCTCGGTTCGCATTATATAGGAGGCTGGGTGGGCCCCAGAGCTGGTCTGGACACTGTGCAGTAGAGAAAAATCTCTTGTCCCCAACGGGAATCGAACCCCAGCCCTCCAGCCTGTAGCCCATTGCTATAATGACTGAACTATCCTAACTTCAACACACAATCCATGGTAAAGAAACACTTTAGAAAAAATATATGACAGTAGCTTGCACTCACTTGGCAGTGCACCTGGTTCTCGCCACAACGCTCTGTGGTACATGTCCCCTTGTCCAGTTTGTCTTTGTCTACCTCCTCACTTGTCAACATAACTGTTGCTGTTGCACCACCTGCTCCTGCTACCTCAAGATGTTGCTGCGGTGGAATTGACAGGGTAGTTACACCTCCAGCAGTAGTTGTCAGTGCCGCCTGAACGGCTGTCACAGGTATTTGCTGTAAGATCATTAACAACATTAACAGATACATGAGTAACACACTTTTCATAATGAAGAGCCAAAGTTCCAACAAATGCATGGCTCTGAAGAGAAAGACCAGCACATACCACAACTTATCTGTACAATTCATGTGTATGTCCTGCACGATTTAAGCTATCAGACAGAACCTCAACGGTCCGAACTGCTGCCACATCTCTCATCCTGAACACACACAAAAATTGCATTCAAAATCAGAAGGCATGTTTATTATATATTCATTCATTACTCAGTAATCTGTCAAACGACAGGTCCACAGTCTCTTCCAAAACAGTTCCTACACTTAATGCGATCTAAAGCTTTCTCCTTCAATAAAAATATCCTCTTCTGTCCCCAAGGTCATCCAGCATCTTCTTATGTCTTCTTCTTCCTTGTCTTCTGGTCACTTATTATATATATACATATCAAATTTCACATGCAAATCTATAAGTCCTCTTTAGTAGGTCATTAAATTGCATGACAATACATCATCAGATTTTTAGTACACATTCTATGAAATTTAATATTTTTATAAGATCTATAGCAATCAAAATTTAAGAGCTCTATATTTAGAATGTATGATAAACCAGACCATGAAGCAAATTACTGCATCTTTTAATTGTGCACTTCATCTCTGCCCCAGCACCTGGCGAGCCACTGAGTAGGTAAGTTAAGTATTTCAAGTCAATTAATAATGTTGAAGCCAATCCCATTTTCAGAGTTTGCATAGCTGCTATGTCTATATTACTGCTATTCATAACAATCAGTTCACTGGTTGTAAATTTATTGAAAACATATATATATGTATATGGACATCACGGCACTACACATCTGTCTTTCTTTACAATATACAGAGATTATGTTACGGTTTTGTTAACTTTTAACTGCTCCATTATTAAACTCTGTTCATCGATTTATTTCTTAATCTATCTTCCTTACTTTGTAACGAAAGTAAACTAATCATTATGATTTTGTTTGTTTATTCCTGTGTCTCAAATATCTCTGAATGTGTGTAATCATCAGATAGTGACACAAATCATTACATTATATATATAACATTCCTATATTTTACTTCCAAAATTGATGGGAACCAAAAGTACACTACCGAAAATGTAGCTGAACACACAAGACATCTCTATAAGACTGCATACTCAAAGTATACAAATAACAGTAACTTCTAAACCAGAGTGTTTCATGAAACTATGGGCAAACTGTTCAAAGTAACCCTACCAGCATTTATTGTACAGTAAGTAAGTAAGTAAGTAAGTAAGTAGGGTTGTGGGATGTTGAGGTTCCCACATTTTCTAGAAAATCGGCTCATAGATGGTGGCAAGGTTGTCAGCCCTATGCGTTGGCCGCGCTTTACTCCCAAGAATATTCCAGGTACTCATTTCTGTTAGAGGCTGAGTCGACCCGCGGCTGGAAGGATTAGGTCAATTGAAAAAAAATCCAATGACCTCACTGGGACTTGAACCTGTGACCTTCCGGCTTGCAGCATAGTGCCTCAACCAACTATGCCACCGCTCCTTCCTTAAACTAAATGCAATATTTGTTAAGATACCTTTCACTGAGAATGTAAAAAAACACCAACAATTACCAACATTGAAAACTTACAAATGTGAGGTTATATTTGACCACTTTCAGGAAATCATAAAATATACTGATATGTTTATTTTACTGATTTATTTATATAATCTGTGCATTTATACTTCCAGATGAAGGCATCTGAAAAAAATATAGCATCATAATGTTTTTCCCAAACATCCTTTTTACAAAAAGTACTCTTTATTAAAATGGCAAATGGTGGTGAGTAAAACCTACATGGATAATACTATAAAACAGTGAAGTGCTATGGTCTATATAAATGTATCACTGAAGTGTTTCACAAATACAACTAACCTGTGGGTGGGTATGCTGAGGGTGGTGAGGAACCAGTGCCATGGTTTCAGTCACACCAATGCCCGGAGGTCCCGTCAGGCAATGCTGTTGCTGTTGCTGCTGAGGTAGACCTTCCTGACCTCCACCAGGCTTTCCACTGTCACATGGCTAAAACGCAACAACACAGATACTAGCTCAACAATCTGGATTTACATACCAGTTTCTCCATGAACTGTGAGAATAATATTTTATTCCATAATATTTCAAACACTAGAACACCAGCTGACACAAATCACATTGAGAGGAGATGGAATCCAGATATGAAGGGTTTACCTAATCCTTCCAGCCGCACTATGGCCATGAGGTTGACTTAGCCCCTAACAGAAATGAGTACCAGGAATATTCTTGGAATGTTCTTGGGGGTAAAGGGAGGCAGTCGGGTAAGGCTGACAACCTTACCGCCATCTATGAGATGATGGTCTAGAAAATGTGGGAGCCTCAACCCTATGGGCCTCCATGGCCTGTTACAGGGATACCTTTACTTTTTACTTTAGCTGCACTGCATAAGCAGACAACCAATGACTCCTCCATTTCAGGAGTTGGGCAAATGAATAACAAATCTCCAATACAAAACACAAACATATTACAAAATGTTATATGGGGCACCGGACTTCGGACAGATTCTACTCTGAAGACTGAATGTGAGTACAACATTCAAAATTGGTGTGAAGACATTCCACATAATTTGTCACATGACTGACTTTGATTATGTTACCTTAGAAACAAAACTGAATATAGGTTGGTAGACCACTGTTGGTTGCTGGATACCACACACTGATGTCTTTCTGAACTGCAAAGCTTGTTTCAACAAAACCAAATTTCACGATTGGGCTGCTAGTGTGTGTACTGTTATTTTCCTGAAGACATCACATATGAAGTTTCATTTAGGGAGATCGTCTTCATGAAATTAATGAAATTTAAACTGTTATGAACTATTTTCAACAAAAATCACCATTCTGTGTTTTGGGGCCCATATTTGAAGGGCCTCTATTTCTGGACCTAAAATATCCATATTCACCAGGCAACAAGCTATACTAGAAAAACTCTTAAATACCAATCATGAATAAAATCTGACCAATTCTTCAGGACTACCGAAGCACACATACATGGAAAGATGCATAGACAGCACTCCAAACGCCCCTCTTTCATATCCAGGGGAGATGAAAACAAGTACATCCATCAAAATCACATGATCAATTCTTTCAACATGACAATACCATCTTATACACATTCCGTTTTCATATTCAGTTGTGCTGAGAACATTTAAATCTGTGAAAATCTTCAGATCATTTTTTTAACTATCACAATACATTCCTCATATTACATGCATGAGAAAGGAGAATGGTTGTTAAAGAAAAAAGGTGTGAAGGTGTGGACTAATAATATTGCGACCAGTGTCACGTTCTTGTGAATATGAAATGGCTCCATACAATGGAGGAAACGTCTTTATTAGATGAGCAACTACTAGCTGTCTCTGCTATTACTGTGGACTGGCAATACCAAAATTCAAGTTTCGGAGAAGAAGGATGTGGATGGACAGCCATAGCCTCAACATTTGTTTACTTCACACATGCTGAGCAAAGAACAAGCAAAAACCTAAACATGGATCTTGAAAAAAATGAAAGAGAAATCTCTGTAACAGAAAATGGAGAAAAGTAAACATGCTAACATGAAAAACCTAATGCTATTTACACATTACAAATACTAACATATGAAGACTAAGATAATCTGCATCATTAGCGCAAGTAATTTATAAGACAACTGTACAGATAAACTTGATGCCTGAAGTTACAAGGTCACCACTCAATAAGCACTTGAACAAAGACACACTGTCAACATCTGTAAAAACAAACTCAGTATGTGCCTGTGAATGACCTAGCACACAACTTCTTTTCCTTTTACATGAAACTTAACACATTCGTTAAGTCTTAACAATACAGTCTGCTATTCAAGAAGAATCTGCTTAATTACAGCCAAGTTTCATGGTTTACTTGCTATTAGAGAAAATCTATGCACCCATATGTTACATTTTCCACACATATCAATTAGTTCCAGGTCCTAATGCTTGAAAATTTTCATGACTTTCTCAGAAAGGTTTACACATGAAATTCAGACTTGGAACAATAATCTGCTTCATGAACAGAACATTCTGTGAAGAAGGTGCCATAGAAATGTCTGGAGTTTACTATGATACTGGTTAATCTGAACTGAACAAATAGAAAAAAATTGTCAAAGTTAGGAATTTTGGGGAACTGGATGAGTGGTCCAGTGATCAGAGCTCCTAGGTTCGATTCCCAGTGCTGCCAGGTTTTCTGAGAAATACTGGGTCTGGAACGGGGTCCACTCAGCCTCATGAGGATAACTGAGGAGCTATTTCAAGGAAATAGCAGCTCCAGTCTAGAAAACTGGGATTAACAGCCATGGGAATCCATTGCACTGACCATGTGACACCTTCTACCTGCAAAAGTTGGCACTAACTTCGCTGACAAGCGGTGGTTGCTGGGTCGGTATAGTTCGCTTGAGGACTACAGGCCACAGAGTGGGTGAGTTCACGATACTTATGAACACAGTTCATTTCTCATGACTAACCAACCCATGACATGTACTGTCCAGAAAGATACTGCTTTCATTACAGATATAACAGATTTCAAACATACTTACTCTAGGAGGATGCAGTCCATATACAGACACTTGTGGGATTGGACCTGGAAATAGGTTGGTGAGTACCCAATATTTGGCCACACTGGACAGTGCAACAGCTGTGCCAACACGCAGATCTGCTGGAGTCCCTGTATGTCTCTGAAGGGCACCAGGATGTGTTGCTTCCTGTCATATACAAATTGTATCAACCGTATTTAACACATAAAAGAAGAAGAAGAAATGGTAGTATTTTCATAGTTTGTCAGAGAGCAAGTGAGCTCGGTTTTAGGTAAGACTATGTCACTGACATATTGTGAAACAGGTTAGGATGGGAAGAGATTGAATAAACAAAAATATGTTACATAAATGGTATTTCTTGACACTCTATTCTCCCTCACAAAGTTTTCTTCCACTTATACCAGTTAAAATTCTTGGCTTCGAGCAAAGTGATTTCACTGCGATGCAGACACAAATCTAAAATGTTCAAGACTTATTTTTCCACATCTCCAACAAACTTCAACACTGTATACGAAAAAACAAAAGGGGTCAAGTACACAACAGTAATATTATTCTTATCACCCATACTGTGGTCTTCTAGGTTATGACACTGCGTACTTTCAAGATACCATGAATATGGAGTATGTTCCTGTGACATATTAGTTCACACCTGCCAGACTATGCAGTGTCATAACCAGAAGACCAAAATACAGTAAAACTTGGTTATAGCAACATCGGTTTCTGCGACACCTTGTCTATTGCGTCAAATATTCAATGGTACGAACTAATTCCTCATAAAGCAACTGTTTTTATACCTTGCTCAGTACGACGTGCACAAATGCATCAACCTCGTACGTAACGTCATTTTCATTCCTGAATTTCTCTGATATGGACATTGAACGTAATTTAGAAAGTGTGTATTGGGCAAGTAACAGGAAACAGATGAAGATAACTGATTACTGTACTCGTATCTAGGTACAGTAAGGCACAACAATTGATGTAATCTACTGTAATTTGGTGAGGAGGCCTACCTTTAATATACAGTATTAGTGCGGCGTGCATTGTCAGTGAAAAGCGCTGTAATATGTCTTTGATATTACACATTTGGGCAATTCCACGTTAATGTTACGTTAGTCTGTACTTAACTACGTATTTCGCTAAAAAATGCAACATTTTAACTCGGTTTTTGGTAGATTTTTACGTGGCTAACATAAGGCTACTGTGGAAGTGCCCATTTCGGTCACAACGACATTCGTTTATAACGACACTATTTTTAGGTCACTTTGATGACGTTATAACCAAGTTCTACTGTATGAAACTTCAGCCCCATGAAAAGCTCAAATCTCGATTTTTATCACTGTTCTTCTGTAAAAGCAATGGAGATGAAATACTTTTAGTTTGGCAATAATGATCATTTCTATCACTCACAACAGGCTACGTTCATAACTGAATGAAGGCAATCATAAAAGAAGTTACCAGCATAAACCATACAGCTTACTTTCATACACTGTTCCTATTACTTCTGCTATCTTATTTCTCTCTTGTGAAGAACTTAACTACAGATTCTGCCTACATCAAATCTGTCCATTGTATGGTCCTCGAAGTTAAGCATCAACAGTATATTTGTAACTGCTGACTTACAAACAATATTTCATATACATATGCAGGTACGCTAATCCTCGACTTCCATACCACATTTCACATGCCTAACCTCAATGATTCATTACTTATTGCCATCAAACCAGAGGTTAAAGAAAATTTCAGTATGGTAGCGATCTTATTATTTTCAATTTTAGAACAAAAACAAAATGACAAAAGGAGAGGAGAAGACACACAACAAAAGTTGCACACCTTTTCAAAAATGTATTGCCATACATAAATTGGGAACCAGAAATTACAGGTCACTAGCGTTGTTCTCATCTAAGGTCATGAATTTACCATACTGTTATTACTACTTGAAGGAGTATAGCATTGAGGTGGCCTCCAAAGGCATGACATTCATACCAAGCTTCACAGAAACCAGTCAACTAATTCAAAAGTTTAAATATGGGACAAACACACCTAGATAATCTCATAAGCCAACTCTTTTCCTATAGAAAGGAAAGTAAGCTAAAAATCACTTACTCTGCTTTGAATTTTCACTCTTGACTGCAACAGAGATCTTAAATAAAATAAAATCATAACAATAACACTCAGTAACATTCATTACTTCCTCTAGTATTCGCCAAATGAATTATGTTCACAATATTCAAGCTCTTATTCAAAATCACTATCTAAAAATACCAACATACCAGCTGATGTTACTACTAACATTCTGCAAGATCCTGAAAGGAAATCATGCGGCTACCACATGATACACTATTCCAGGTTCAAGACCCAATTATCCCATGCAGTATGCCTTACAGACAAGGCTACATTGGGAATAGAGTTACCACCTCTCCAATTTTAAGCTGCAGTCTACAGACTGGGTCTCCCTATCCCTGTACCCTGGTCAGAGATTTGAACAGGTTTGGGAAACAATATATGCTTACAACTTAAATTCAATGCGTGATCATATAATTAAAATATTTCATTTTTTGGGCTCTGCCTCGCATACTCACAATCAATCATAACATCCAACACTGAAGAAATACAAATTACAGGTCTCATAAAGCTCATAAACAAGCATCTTTCATCAAAATGAAACAGTTGACAACAGACACTACTGTGGGCAGGTCACGCATGAAGGCAGTGCATACTACACTTTGTCAGCTCACTGCCTTACCACATTCTCACATGGCACAATGATTTCATTCTATGGAGAGATTTTATATTTCTATATATATCCCATTAGAATATTTGTGGCAATTATAAATTTTACTGCAAATCATTTTATGCACTTCATGTGCCATGTATGTACTCCACACAAATGGAAGATGAATTTGTTAGCAAAGTCCATATTGATGTCATGAAGAAGGCAATTTATTCCTCAATGAAACCTTCATAACTGGCCACTTGAACATAAAGAGAATCAACAATGTGCCAAATGTCTCGAGTTTCTGTCATATAAAGGCATAAAGTCTCTTGTGAATGCTGCAATGAGTAACAAAAAATAACATTTACATAACTGTAAATAAAGAGGTAAGCCATTACTTTCATTTATTAGTTATTACTTCTAATAATTTACTGGCTAAATACATTTATTACCTACCCTTTTGTTTTAAAAAGAAACAATCTGGGCTTGAAAAACATGACTGCCCAATGAAACAAGATAATTCAAACTGGTAAACAAAGTAGTTGCCCACTGAAATGAACCTACTATTCAAACTGGCAAACAACAGTTGCCCACTAAAATAAACCTACTATTCTAACTAGCAAACAAAGTAGTTGCAAACTGAAATGAACCTACTATTCAAACTGGCAAACAAAGTAGTTGCCCACTGAAACAATCCTACTATTCAAACTGGCACACAAAGCCTATTATTCAAACTGGCAAACAAAGTAGTTGCCCACTGAAACAAGCCTACTATTCAAACTGGCACACAAAGCATATTATTCAAACTGGCAAACAACAGTTGCCCACTGAAACAAGCCTACAAAGTCCACAATGAAAAAAGGTCATTTTTTTGCATTTACAACTTTTTTCAGTTTTCCTAATGTCTTACAGNCAGTTGCCCACTGAAAGAAACCTACTATTCAAACTGGCACACAAAGCCTATTATTCAAACTGGCAAACAACAGTTGCCCACTGAAACAAGCTTACTATTCAAACTGGCAAACAAAGCAGTCACACACTGAAACAAGCCTACAAAGTCCACAATGAAAAAAGGTCATTTTTTTGCATTTACAACTTTTTTCAGTTTTCCTAATGTCTTACAGCTGATTTTAACATGTTCACAATATCTGCGGAACACGTCTTTTATTTTCTTCACAGTTCAGAGGTTAAAACTGTAAATGACACCAAAAGAGAACTATACCTTCTTGCCCGTTGACACAAAAAGAAAAACTTACATCAGGTGGAGCTGCTGAAGATGCTGGTACAGTTAATGTGTGCTGCTCGGCATTCATCATGAATCACGTTGCATTTATGAATGGAAATAATAACCTGAAACAGAAATTTAAAAAATTTTGCTTCCTGCATACTGTAGTGGACTTGTGCTTGAATCTCGGCTTAACATCATTATGTCTTTGAAGAATGCTAAAGTAATGCACAGAAAGGTAATATGAATTTTTAATCATAAAGGTAATATGAATTTTTAATCATTTAAAAACCAAAATGCCTCATTTCATAAAGTAATCATCTCAGTATATAGAATTTATTTTTCTTATATTGATTAAACAATATTAAAAACCAGACATGTTTCAATCATAAACAACCATCTTCTAGGGGGCAACAGATACAGTGCGCACTTGATTGTACGCACTGTATTATGGGAAATTTTACAATTCATACATATGATGGAAAGATTTAAAACGTCAAAGTCATACAGTTGTTTATACAAAGTTACAACATTAAAGTTCACTGATATGAACCACTATTAAATGAAAGTTTCTTAATAACTGGTGCTTCATACTTGGGTTTTTATGGTGTCAGTACAGTAATGTTGTGTAATATCAATAAAATATGATCTTCATGAACTATTTGCTGAATTCTGGAAGATTCAAGAAGTTGCTGTTTCCACAAGTGTTACTTCAAAAGCGAGCATGAAAAGAGTTAAATATATTATGACAAACAGTTGTACTTCATATCAGAGCAGTATTTTATCATATTCATTGTGTGCGCGCGCACGCACGCAAGGGCACATTCATGCAAGCATGTGTGAATGTGTAATATCGTTAACTTCTTGGCATACAACTTTATTCTTTCTACTCAAGATACACACTTAAAATTACTTTAAATATTCAAAATACTATGGACTCTGTTTCATGTACTTACAACCTAATCATAACACTGTATAGACAGATATGTCTAAAATCTACAATAAAACTTTTTATAGGCATACTACATCGACTATCCAATCAGGAGCAGATTTCAATTTTCATCTGATACGTTTCATAATCATTAAAGCAGCTAATACCATTTGTAACAGGTGGAAATCCTGCAATTATCAAAATATGTCAATAAGTTAACATATCAGTACATTAGGCCCATCAAATACATGGTCCAAGGGCTGCATGTGGCTGTCTTTCAAAGAGGAAAACATCACCACCTGTTGCACTATATTGAAACATAATACAGTTATGAGACCTGCAAAAATTACAGGGTTTTCTCCATAAATATATCAAATATAATTTGAACACAGAATCAAAATATTATCTGCAGACATTCCCACCTTCTATGTCTGCTCCTGTTAAAAGTCAAGCAAAAAAAAAGGGGTAAAAGTGAAGTCATCCCTGTGCTTAATTAATTAAGCACTATGTCATGAAGACATAAGGGGTAGTGAAGGTATAGCTCCACCATTCTTGACCTTGGCACTAGATGGAGATGAGTGGTCAGCTTCACACTCTGGTTACTTTAACCTTTGGGAGTCCCCAGTACCCCTTAGATAGGAGGCTCGGTGGGTCCCAGAGCCTGTCGCGACAGTACACAGAAGAGAATTATTGCTCGTGCCGGGAATCAACACGGTCATCCAGCCCACAGCCCATTGCTATACTGACTGAGTTACCCCAACTCTGAAGTAATTATTTTAAATAATATCCCAATATAAATTAATTATAGTATAATTTACAATACAACACCCAGTTGCCTATGCCCTTTTTTCTTCTATGATGTTTTGACAGATACACCATTTACCAACTGTAGCTGCAACTGCACTAACAAAAAGTTACATAAATATCCCTTCTCACATTCAAAGATACTTTTTCTTACTTTCTCCTATATGTATCATATATGAGCGAGTACTGCAATTGTGAAAGACGCTGACCTTGAAACTCTTGACAGATCTGCATGTTTTCTTCACCCCCCCCCCTTTCTATTACAGAAGTGTGGTTGAAAATATGCTGACAGTATGTACATATATGTATGAATGTATGCATAGATGTATGTCTCACTAATGGTCTCACTATGGCATGAAGGTTTGTATGGATTTTATTTATATTCAGCATTCAAGAGTTTATCTGTCACAGGTGAATCTGATAAACACTATCATTCCAGCTCCAAAATAAGGGCCCTTTAGATGGGCCTCAAAACATAAAATGGGGATTTTCTCTAACACAGCTCTAACTATTTTCATTACATTTCACTGATTTATGGAGACCACCTCCCTAAATAAAACTGCACAGGTGGCACATTCAGGAAGATAATGGTGCGCACATTACGGACCCAAAGAAAAAATGTCATTTTTGTTGAAACTGGCTTACCATTCACATGATTTTCACAGCAAGCCAACATCAGTCTACCATGCAAGAAGTGATTCGTTTCTAAAATAACGTAGTCAAGCTCAATCATATATGAGAAAGTACACGCAATGCCTTTTTACCAATTTTTTTCAATAAATCCATATTCACTTAATTCAGATAACTGTCTTCTGGAAGGTGATGCCTTGTACTCTGGTACACACTGAACAACATTTGCGAGTAACCTGTTGCTCCATCTTTATAGTAAAGCACTGAGGTATATGTTCCTCTGAAACACTGGGAAACACCTACCAGACTACACTGAATCAGATCACACAAAAGACATTAATCTTCATAGTCACTGTCATGAGAACCTCAAAACCTCAAAAAGTAATTTATGTAATATGTAACTTCAGGTTTGGGAGTATAAATGCATTATGTACTGAATCTGTTCCAATTCTTAATTTATGTAATATGTAACTTCAGGTTTGGGAGTATAAATGCATTATGTACTGAATCTGTTCCAATTCTGGTGAACAATGTCACCGCTATCAGGGTAACTGTGAGGCAGAAGAGGTAAATGGACTTATATATGTCTTACTGTGGGAGCAATGGTGGCGTGGTGGTGCAAGGTGGTATTTACATAGCCTTTTCTCATCAGATAGCGACTAATGCACACCCAACCCACCCTTACTACCATCACAAGATCTACATATCAGTACACTTCCACTTTCTGCCTTACACTCATCTCCAAAATGATGACTGTAAAGTGCCCAAACGTGTTAAAACTGCTGAGAGCAATTAAAGGTAATCGGTAAACTTGCCCCTGTGCTTAAATTATGATACTAACATATGAGGTGAGTGGAAGTTATACATTCATGTATTATTAAGCTTGGTACTAGACGGAGGTGAGTGATCAGGTTCATACCCTAGCTGCTTTAGCCCCAGTGAAAGAGCCCCTGGGACCCACTGGTTAGAAGGGTGGGTGGGCACCACAACCAGTCTGGATACTTTGGAGAGGAGAAAAATCTCTCAGCCCAGCCAGGAATAGAAGCTAGATTCTTTGGCTAACCAACTCATAGCCTGTAGCTATACCAATGCTGCTATCCTGGCTCCCAACATATGAGACAACTAAACGACACGGCCAAAGTTATATATCAGACACAAGCATGATAACCTAGGGAAAAAACAATTAAAACCGTTTTGTGCTGAGGATAGTATGCCTAAATGAAAAGGCCGCGCCATAGCTCAAGCAGTTAGTCGCTGGCTAGCCACCGCGGCGCCCCGGGTTAGATCCCGGGTCTGGTCAAGTGGGATGTGTGGTGGACAAAGTGTCGCTGGGGCAGGTTTTCTCCGAGTACTTTGGTTTCCCCTGCCAATCTTCATTCCACCAACTGATCCACAATCACCCTCACCCATCATCTGGGGCTGGTAGAACAGACCAGCAGTGTCCCCAGTATGAGGGACTTAGTCCCATCCCACTAGCAATTAAAAAAAAAGTAAATGAAATGTAAATTTTACATAATTTGAATATAAATGACACGAGGTGGGTGTGTGGAAGAGAAGTTCAACTAACTGGTCACTGAACTGTAAAGCTGTGTTTTAATTATAAGTTACTCTATTATGTAATATATAATTCAATTTTCTATGCTATTCTCCGCTAAACACCTCCCTGTCATTACTGGCCCCCAGCCACCAGGTCATATCACAAAACTGACTGGGAAACATAACTCTGTATGTTTGTTTTTTCATTCCTTCTCAAAGAATTTATTTCCAACCCACTGTGCTTTCAACTCTCCTCAAAATCATCTCCTAACACTGAAATTTCTCCCCGAAATCTAACCAAACTAAACATAACTGTCCCAGTATGATTATGGTTAAAATGTAACATAAATATTCAGTACAAATAGGTCTAAATGAAAAGAGTCATGTGTTTTTGTGGTCCATGGTCAACACAGTCACTCTCTTTTAACAGGTGAAATTGCAAATAACACGAAGCCTTCTTGATAACAGAAAACTGACCGGTTTTTGAGTCCTTCACTTCATCATTAAAGTGACACACGTCCTCAGCTGGTCTCTGCAGGCCAAAATTAAGTGACTACATCAAAATAAGATGACAAAAGACTGTATCCCCCAGCCCATCTCTTACAATGCAGTGAAAGACAATGCTGCAATACAACAGATGCAGTCATGGACAAAACATACTGATTTTCTAGTACAGTTTTTCAAGAATTCTTTTGGTCACCACAGGAGTAGATAAATCTATTATAATTCCATTAAGGATTGATGTATGGGAATTCTGCAATTATCCAGTTGAAAGCTGTAAATTCTAGTAACAATATCATGCTTTAGAATTGCCTCTTCTCACACAGGATGGGAGAAAAAGTGAAAGGTTTTGCACCACTTTTACATTCATACCTAAGATGCAATGTCCTAATAAAAAGTACTAAAGGGAGAGTAAATCTCAGCCTTAATAATTCCTTTTGCACAGTAATTTAAAAGGTGTGACTTTGGTACATCTAATGCAATCACCAAAATTCATTCAACAGAGACTCCCTGGTGTTACAGTGACATTTGCAATACTGCTTACATGACATAAATGTCCTACAGTGCTTCTATAAAAGTTACCAACTTTACTCCTTATTTTTCATTACATTACCACTGTAAGACAAAATACAGTATCTACAAAACTGCACAAAATATTTCCATCTGTTACACATTTGGACTGGACATAAAACTTTGCCAAATCTGATGCTATAGTGGTTAAGCACTGCCTTGTAGCTAGATGGTTGTTTCTGAAATTTCACAGTCAACGCCTAGATAATAACTACATTCAAAGGTACAATAGAAATTGCTTTCTCTAGACAAGAATAATGCAGAAGCAATTTTCAGACTGCCAAAACTCAGAACATATCTAAACGTATTTATCATGTTAGTTTCAGCATACATCATACAGTGGCCATACATATTGTCATGGGAGTGCCTTTCTTTTACATTTGTATAAAGTTAATCAGAAGTCACCACCTTGTATGTGCATTCGTTTCTTGCCTTGCACACAACTTTAAATATCACAAAATTCCACCTCATGATGCCTTAACCCAAGCAATACTGAATCTTCAGACTTACTTCATACCACCAATTTATTTAATATATGCACTATATGGGAATGGAAAACCAAATCTTGGAGCATAGAAGAATCGGAATGCCTATTAGGAACAATTACAATAGCAAACAGAACATACACATGGGCATCTCTAACATAGCACACACTGTTTTGTGATAATACATTCTTCGGTCCGAAACTTACTAGTAAATTTCAGTACGTATACAATCAAACACTCGGTTTATTACACCCTGCAGTACGACACTGTCGTACACAACACATTATGTAACTGAAAAAATCATGATCCCAGTTTTCGTTCCAAGTTCTATCACTCATTAACACCTGGTCAAGTGAACACCCTCGGTACATTACTGTATCATAAAGTAACCGATAACACTGAAATACCTGGCTATCCACCAATGTACCAAAATATGCGGCAAAACTAGTGTGAAATAAGCGGCTGTCATTGTCATGAAGCTTAAGCTAGGCTTACCAACGCTCAACTATAAGGAAAAAAATAATTGTCGAAAATGCATATGCACAAACAGTAAACTTAAAACACCCATATTATGAATCAAGAATATTAACTTCTGAATGCAAACATACCATATACAATATCCGTAACGTACCTATCGCTTTGTTTATAGTTTTTTATACGATGACGAATTTCGGACAATAAACAGGTTAGCTGTCATGGCGAAACATCACGGCTTCCAAGCGACTGTAAATAAGCTGACTTTTGTCCACTATATCATGTTCAATATTTCTAAACACATTCACATATACAATGTTCTCATCATATATAAACTCATTATGAATTATTTACCCACAAAACACACAGATTTCGAATGAAATTTGATAAAAATAGAGAACGAAACACATTTCAGCGTCAAAGCCACTTATCGATAGCCTCGGTCGATTTTCGTATCACTCCGCTTCCCCCCGCATTGTACGTAGTCTTCGGAATTTTAGTCGGAATATAGTTTCCTTTAACAAATCAGATGTGCATGAAGGTAAAATTAGAGTTGATTTACATAACTGCAACTTTTTTTAAAATGTGCAAATACTGTCAATTTTTTATGTCTACAGGATATTTCATAATATGATCTACTGCCTATAAATCGAAATGAAGCAGCAGTTCTACACTGTTATAACTGCCATGAAATACTTGAGTCCATACACTGCAAATAAAATAACAATATAACCCATCCTGACTGGGCTAAAAGTATTGCAAATTTTGAAGTGGCAATTAAATTCTTGAAGAAAGAATACCACCTTCAGCGTTTCATTTGCATTTTTCAAGATAATACTGCTAATGGCTAGAGTAGTTCATTATAATTTGTGAACAGTGTATGAACTAGTTTAGGCAAGTTCCTATATCAGGTGATGTGTGTGGATAATTCTTGGACAGATATAGACACAAATGTGGCCACTGTGAGAACACTAAAACTTTGAAACAATGGGCCAATATGCAACATGAACTGAGATGGACTGCCAACTGCTCCTTCACTGGTTAGTGTTTGGATGGCTGAGACACACACTCGTGCCTGTAAATAAATACGTGGTCATAACACCACATCAGCTCCTGATAATGGAGACACTGTCTCCAAAATGTTGGATACCACCTGTCTATTCACAAGTCTGAGCCCCCCAGGAAGACTTAATTGAAAACAAAAATATCTTTAGGCTTAAAAATTAAAATCGTAGACATTACACATGAATGAAAATCAATAAAAATGTACTTCTGACACAGATTTTGGTATGAATTTTGTAAAATTTGCGTCTCTAGTGCTTCTGTACATGCTGTCAACCTATAGGAAGGTGGGATTCTTATTACATTGTTGCAATTATTCAAAATAGGTGTTAATTCAGTTATTAATTGACTTTACTATAAGCATCCATTGTTTTGCAATTAAGCATTCTGTATTTTCTCAGCATCATATAATTCACAAAGTCCAGTATCTACACTGCACAGTCACATACATAAAGTTTGTACTTACTTCATTCTACTTTATGTAGAACATTACATATTTATGTATACATTCTCTTATATACACATAATAAAATATAACATTTACAAACATTAAAATTACTATACACATTATTATGTAAGACTATTTACAAAATATTTTCAATTATGCAATAATTACAACTATTAAAATATATATACCTGGAAGAATGACTAGTACTCTCTAAATGCTTGAGCAATATATATTAATTCAAATTTGTTTTGGTTTAAGCACTTCATGAACTAAGCCTATTCTGTTGCAGCCAACTATACTGCATATACCTAAAAGGAGGAGGGGGTCTGAAGAACGGGGCTGAATGGGAAAAGCAGGGAAAATTAATGCAGATATAAAGCACTTTTCTGGTAGACGGAAGTCTTGAATCTCACATAATAGTGACAATTACAAACTTATTTCATTATTAAGATGTGACACAACTATAATCTTATTTTCCATTACTAAGGCAGTCACTTTTCAAATAAGGAAACATGCTGTTTCTCAACCAAGAGTGTTCAACTCATAAATGTATCATAGATAATGAATATACATCATGCATACTGGTTGTATTAAAATATCTACATGCGTGAATGGCCAGAATGTTTTCACACAACAGTGTTACAGAAATCCATCCATCCATAAATCATAAATCATGTGTTTAGAGTGAAACTAGTGAAGTAAATAAATATAAAACTTAGCAAGAAAGGAAGAGCACCCATTGACAAATGTAAATATCTGCTGGGTTGATTTTATACCCTCAGTCTGATTCTCTTTGTTGCCAAAAGGTGTGAAGAAAATACTACACATTCTCCTTCTATCTGTGGGTATTTAATCAGGTAAATAATCTTTATGTTCATTTAATGCAAGTCTAAGGAAAGTATGCTCAGGTTATCTGGTGCGAAAACCAAGTTATATAACAATCTCCATCCAAAGAGAATTGTCAAAATAACTGCTCACCTACTGAAATAAATAACTGGTATAAAAACATTTGATATTGAAGATTTCTGCAATTTGAAACTGCAACAGGGAGGGCAACAGCAATTTAGCCCTTACACCACGACCATCACTGATCTCTTGTGCTTCCCCTTTGATTAACCCTTTATGAATCCTACACTTCAGTTCCCATCTTATCAGTTTTTCATATTTCATTACCCTTCAGGTATTAATTAGCATTTTATCCATAGACACTCCATATTTATCACAAGATACAATTATTCTGACAACCATCATTTGATGCTTCGAAGTCAACAATTTATACAATACTTAAGCTAAATAAGATTCATATGTGTCTGCATCATGTTTACATAAAGTTTGGAATGACTTAGGAATTATGTTAATGAGAAACAAGGAACAGTAAGCTTTTTGCATAGTGCATTTTGTAGCTTACAAAATGAAGCACTCGAGTATACAATCCAAAGTAAAAAACATTTCTTTCTACTTCATGTGGTTTGTACTCTTAAGAAAATATAATTGATTTTAACAGAAACCTTTGTCTTCAAACGCAGACCCAACTGTTCAGAGTACCAAATATTATACAATTATAAGAACTGAGGTATCCTAGTATAAAGCTATAAGGATAGAGTTTGGTGTTCAACTTTTGCAGGTTCGGCAGTCTGTAACTTTTAATGTTAAAACAAAACTAGCTGTTATGAAATTCACTGATTCTTTACAAGCAAGAAGAAAACACCTCAGGCTTCAATAACATTCTTCTGAAATACAAACATACTACAATGATGGTACCATTATGCCACTATCACCTGAAACAGAGTCAGTATACATATCTCTGTATCAGCCATAACTGCCAGCATCGCACTGTAATACACATCACAGAAGGCACAACATTGAAAGACATGTGATAATCACTAGGAAATACACAAAAATTTAACAAATGAGTCGCAACATGTTCTTATGCATAAATACTTTCTCTTTAAAAGTATCACTTGCAGGAAGAATTACAAAAATGTCTTCAGACTTATCAGGAAAGTGTTAATATTAGTCCAGAGATAATTCTGGAAGCTGACTTTGCATCTGTAATCCCCATAATTAATTATTACTGCTTTCTTCACAATGATTTAATGTATAATTATGAAATGAAAACAATGAGCACTATGTACAACTATTCCTGGGTTCAATTAGGCACTACACCATGGGAGACAGTTCCGTGTACTTAATTATGTATCATATCATGGAAATGTACAGAGGGGCTGAAGCATAATTCCAAATATTTTTAACATTGGCAGTAGTTGAACGTGGGTGGTCAGTATCTACTATCATGCTTCAGCCAATCTACCACTAAGAAGAAACATCTGGTACCCCTTGGATAGGAGATGGGAGAAGGGGGATAACAGGGCACAGGTCTAGAGGCAGTGGCAAAGAGAAAAGCCTCTGTCCCCGCTGTGAGAGCCCTAACTGTGCTGTTCTGATTACAAAGGCACTATGTTCAAGCACAGATGTCACTGAAACATATTCTCAGATACAAGAAACAGGGCTGTCAAATCTTCAATCATGACTATGCCATAATATACATAGGGGGTTGGATGAGTAACAGAACACTCTACATGTGTAGTTCATACCAACAGCCATGCTGGTAAGCATCCAGCAAATAGTATATAAATACTTTTCTGTAAAGATACAATGCAATATCAAAGTTCAGTGGTGATCTCATCTTGTGGGCGGAAGCCAAGGGTGAAAAAGTCATCTTCATCGAGATAATCCCTGCTTGCAGACCACTCAGCAAGGATTGTATAATTGGCTGGATTGAATTCCCAGCATGGGTTAAAGTCCCCATTGATAAGAGATGGTTGTAACATTGTTGTATCTCTCCTCAGAAGAGCATCGCTTCCTGCTAAATGGGCATTGTTATAATTGCTGTCAAACGTTGAGATGGCAAGCTCTTGCAGGCTCTGGTTTGCTGGCATTCCTGTGTGAGAGTTTTGGTTATTTTGATCACTGACATATTTATCTCTTTCTGAAGTGTTCGCTGCAACAGGCTGAAATGTTGTGAGTGACCGATGATTTGGTTCTGGATTCACATAAATGGATTGTGTTGATGTCTGATTTGTTTGGATTGGGACTTGGAGAAAATTGACCAGCTGGGCCTGTGTAACCTGCAACACAGTACAAGATTACTATATTACAGTTTTCTGATGCATACTCGTACTAGCCAGTTACCCGATACTTGGTGAATGGCAGCATGTTCTTATGGCTATCCTATGAGGCAAATGCACTATAGTTTGCGTGTTGATAGCTCTTGTGAAGGTATTTTGTTGCATAAAGAAAAAATAATAACCCACCCCATTCAGAAAATGTGCACAAACCACAGCAAGAAAAAAGTGTTAGAGACAGCATGGTGATGGATCATAAACATATGTGGTCAGTTCAAAAAGTTTCAGAACTTTTGAAATAGTGCGCCAACTCGACATCTTAGCAAGGTCTGGTAAGGTGTGCTGCCTAGTGGCATGCTTCATAATTATCATCCTTTTTGACTTGTCATCCTACTGTGATTAGTCACCGCCCTAGAGCTATTTGTTCACATGCGTGTACAGTGTCTTCCGATATTCGAGGTGGCTAATATTTTGATATCAAGTGTGTTCTGCATCATGAATTCTTACATCAGAGCAAACAGTGAATTGCTGGTATTTTCTCAAAATGTTATATTTTAGCGTCCTGTTGCACTGATTTAAGTCCATNGTGCTGAAATGTCTAAGAGAAAATGTCAGGAGAAAAAGACCTCATTTGTGGAGAAACAACTGTCGGTTCCTCCATCATGACAATGTGCCAGCTCATGCATCACTACTGATTCGTGACTTTTGGCCAACATGAACACAACTGTGCTTCCTCAGCCACCCTACTCACCTGACCTGGCTCTGGTAGACTTTCTCTTATTTCCCAAACTGAAATCACAAATCAGTAGCAATGCATGAGTTGGTGCATTGTCATGATGGAGGAACCAGGAGTTGTTTCTCCTGACATTTTCTCTCAGATGTTCAGCACTTTGAGAGAGAAGAACACCACTAGGCAGCAAAACTTACCTAACATTGCTAAGACGTCGAGTTGGTGCACTATTTCAAGAGTTCTGAAACTTTTTGAACAGACCACATATGTCCTAGATTTTCTCATGGTAAGAATTATAAGCATGGCGAGAGTTAAGTTTATAGGTTATGTCTGTTAACGGAAAGATACAGTAATGGTAGTCAAGCATAAAATTACATCATAAAGTTGTATCAATATTATCAATATTTTATAATATCTACTACCTCCTTTATAAAGGTGTGTGTAAATGACAGAAGACATGAGTTCTTCAAAAGACTTCTAGTGTGGTTATGAACTAATCAAGACAATCCAGTTATGGTACATGAACAGCCTTGTTTAAACATTGACATACTAATGATGATAATCATTCCATTCGCACCTTACTATGTTTTCACTGTATTATATTGCATATGAATTTCATTATATTAAAAACATTTTGGTTGATTGAAAACTTTATCACCATTTATACAACTATCATGGAACTGTCATCATTTAAACACTTAAAGAAACTGAATAACTGGGAAATGGGCAATCATCCAGGAAAGTTTACTTTTTTTCTACAGATTAACGCATCTTCTGGTTGGATTTTAGGCTAACAACTAACACTGTAATTTTATCATACCAAATTTCATCCACATCCACTGTTCGGTTTGATATCAAACATGCAGATGGATGGACAAGCCATAAGAGGTAGATTTGGTTTTAATAAATGTATCAATGTATAAGAAGTGTGTGTCCAGTAACAATTTCATGTAAATATCCAATGAAATTTTATTACAAGAACAGCTGCTCAATAAATGAGCAGAAATTGTAGGAGTAATTATTATGTCTGTTACACAAATCCTACAAACCTGATGAGGATTCTGCTTCTTATATCTTCGCAGCACACGCTCTCCCCAAGCCAAGAGTTTCTCCCAGTCAGATGGGGGTGACAGTAAGAGATGATCTGGTCGGTTTAGAAGTGTAAGGATCCTTGCCAGATCTGTCAGCACTGGTCTGTAATATAAAAGCAGTACAATCAAACAGGTTGTCTAGTGGCATGCAGAAGATGCTCAGTTCAAATTTCAGCCAGCACATGAGCTACTGTAATGAGGTTTTTGGAGTTTTCCCCAGGCCCTCCAGCCAAATCCCACAATGGTACCTCAATGAAACCATGATTGTTACCGGCCTCCGTAGTCTAGGGGTAACGTTCCCACCTTGTGACTCAAGATACGCGGATTCAAACCCGGCGGAGGTCATGGAATTTTTAAGGGCAGAAAAATTCAGGGATCAAGCCCTCTGGGAGGGACTTTAAGCCGTGGGTCCCGTGTCGTAGCTTTACAGCACGTAAAAGAACCTCATGTCCCAAGGGGACCACTGAGCCAAATTCAGGACATTTCCCGCCTGTGGTAGATGGGGGAAGCATCAAGATACCGCTGAGCCAGTAGAGGTCGAACTTGCTGGCTGAGTCAGGACTGATGGCACGCACCAGTACCGGTAGGGAATAGAGACTGGTAGAATATCATAGGGGGACGCACAATGGACCAACAGTTGGTCTAAGTGCATGGGGAAACCCATCCTCTCCAATACAACACAAACCATGATTGTTTCCTTCCAAATTCTTTTCAAATCTGTCATCCTATCATTCAATTTTATGTAGTCTCAAGTACTGAAAACATCCTAAAATAACGCACTAAAATAAAGTACTCTGATTTATTATGCAAGAAGAAGCTTATTACAATATAAATAAGAATACAGTTGGGAAGACAGAGCACTTATAAGGGAAATGAATAACACCAGGTTGTTTGTCCTCATTGTGAAATTTATTGTTAAGCGTTGCAATATGTTTGGGTTGAAACTAACTGCATCTTGACCTGTAGTTATATGCCTTCACCAGCTACTATAGCAACTTTTAGAAAGAAAGCAGTCTTCTGGGATTTGGCACCGTGTATATGTGNCAAAATATCCTTTCTAAAAGACCCTCTCTCTTTAGTTCTACCTTGGCATAAGAAAAACATCTGACCTGCAAAATGACTTGTCGAATACATCAAAGGCATCTATCAATGCCTACTGCCAGCATTTTGTAGTACTCCTTTCAACTTACCTTTATTACGTGGCTGTGCATATTGACAGCTTGTTTGTTCAATGTTTGATTATTTGCACCTTCATTTATGAATGAGAGGTCTCTTCCTACCACCTTCACAATTTTAAGAGCATTTACATAGTCAAATTCAATGGCATCCCTCATGCCTGTCTCCTCATTTGATAGCAGCCTTGGCAATGTCATCTCTTATACAAATAATAACCAAATGCCTTGCAGTCTCCACATGTATACACCAGACTGTTTGGTCATTATCAAGATTCTGCACCAATTTTCCCAGCATTGTAAGGCTGGGAAATTTGTTGTCTCTTGCTGGGTACCTGGCCATATGAGCCTGCTCCAGGCAATAAGACCAACATAGCTATCAAGGATGGCCCTCTGGAGCATATTTAACATCAGATAACCCTGTTTTGTCTGCCCAGCAAGATAAAACAAGCTGAATCATATTCACTGCAACAACTGAAAGTAGTGAAACTGTCTGTAGAAGTGTGGAAATTCTGCTTTAACTCTATCGGCAGTGAGGAAGTCATTTTAAACACCTTCAGATTAGTCACATTCACCTGACATGTAGACATCTGTTTGTGATGAACCACTACCTTTTTGTATATTCAGAAGGGACTAGTTAGTTAGTTAGTTAGTTAGTTATTTGGAGAGGGTGGGTTTCCCCATGCACTTAGACCTGTATTGGTCCACTGTGCTTCCCTCTATGATTTCTACCAGTCTCTATATCCTACCAGTACTGATGCTTACCATCAGTCCCGCCCAGCCAGCGAGATCGGCTCTACTGGCTGAGAGGTATCTATAATGCTTCCCCCATCTACCAGAGGTATTAGAGACTGCTGTTGGGCGGGAAACGTCCGCAATTTGGCTCAGTGACCTCCTTTGGAGATATGAATTCTTTTTACATGCTGTAAAGCTACGACATGGGACCCACGGCTTAAGTCCCTCCCAGAGGACTTGTTCCCTGAATTTTTCTGCCCTTAAAAATTCGACGACCTCCGCCGGGTATTTGAACCCGCGTACTACGAGTCATGAGGTGGGAACGTTACCTCTAGACTATGGAGGCCGCTTTCAGAAGGGACTAAAAGCCCATCTTATGATGAATGCCATACCCAGGGCAAGATTAAAACTTTATGAGGCCCCTATATTTCTTTCAAAAAAATAATGCAATGTATGTCAGTACATGGGGAACTACACAGATGTGTTGCTTGGCAATAGTTACACAGTTACACTGCAAGAAGCAGTGCCATCTACCAGTTTCTTTTTAATAATTATGAGTGTTCCTGTGTATATAATTTCCATCATTCAACTATGAAAAGATGCAGTCAAATGTCTGTTACATTTCAAGTTTTACAGGAGAATACTGTGTCGTTTCATGGGTGAGTTTTCTTCTTGGTATTTTTAGACCCCTCAGACTGCAAGGCTCTTGGCAGTAGCTTCTTTACCTTATACATAAATCTGGCACTGGCCATATGCTCCATCTTCATGTCATACTGTGCAACATCCCCAGAGATGATCAGTGTGTCTAATGTTCTGGCATTCATGAGCTGTGCTAGGCTCTCCAATACAATGTGACTCACATTTTATGACATTTTAATGCTTTCATATTTTGTGTTCTTCTTTTGCTGATCTACTGAAATTTCCATGTTCATGTTACTTTACTTGCATGACCTTGTAGGACTGCAGTGATGGACTCCTACACAACCTGGCATTTTTATACTTTTTACCATCCCGTCACTCTATACATATATAACTTGGTGTCAGATTTTACCAACAGACTCCTTTATAGTCAGATGTGTATGTGTATCAATATCAGTATCAATTTTACCCCTCTTCTGTTGTGAATTTTTAATTCGTTTTAATTTACACATGCATAAGCAGCTATAGAAACCTCTAAACCAACACACACAGTTTAGACCTCTGCTCCTTCTAACACTGTTTCACATTATATTACATTCATCAAGTTAATGCTTCAAAATTAGTTAATCATCTTATGTCTTCCTGCCAAAAGCAAATTTGAACTGAAGTGCAATTTAAAATAAACATTAACTGCCATTGGAGAAGTGAAATTCATATGAAATACCTCTAATCACTGGGGACCAAATATACAGTATGCGCCAAAATATAGTATTGAAACTCGCGCATTTCGAATGCACGTGTGCGTTTGTCGACGAGGCATAGCTCCAGCCACACGTGTTCCCGGTAGTGAAAAGGAAGTTGTGTGGTGCAGTTGTTGGAAATGGGTCTCTTGCCAGAGGTAAAGGTATTCATAGCTGAGTATTATTTCCGCTCATACGGAAGTGGTTGCCAGACAACTCGCTTCCTTGGTTTTGAGCGGCCAGATGTTACCGTCCAGAAACCGCTACACAGTACACCTGTGACGATATGGTGTTCCGTCTCAGCTCACGGTACATTAGGCCCCTATTTCATTGAGGGTGAGGAAGGACATGGTGATCGGACCATTTGTTCAGGATTTCAAAAGGTTCTGTCGTGCAAGGGGCCTTCACATGAATAGACAGTGGTATCAATAGGACGTCTTTTCATTTCAGTACTGTATATTTTGGCGCATACTGTACAATTCATACTACATAAATCTTCTTAACCACTGTTATGAGAACCTAAAATCCCATATGAAAACTATAATTTCATTATTCAGGTATAAAACAGACCTGTAAGCTTGAATAGCTGAATCTCCATGGCCACTTGTATGACACAATTCTCGCACCTGTCGTCGGGTGTCATTCAACATGGCTAAGAAAACAGGTGCTTCACATCGAAGTGCAGCCAAATGTTTCATGAACTCCCTCCTCTCTGATGTATCTACAAATATATATCACAAAGTATGAGAGACGAATTACATACTTACGAGAGTGAACTTGTAATGTAATTGATGTTGAAACAAATCTGCAAGACACTGATACATTTTATCTCTACATATATTTCACTGATGAGCTAGAGTACACTCTTTAAGTTGTAAGGTATGATCTACTCGAGACCATTCTTTTTCAATTGCCACCAAACACTGATTTTATACTCAAAAAATGAATGGTAGAAAAGTATACTTTAACTTCATAATGAATAAAATAGATCAAAACCTTAATGAAGAGACACTTATGTCAATTAATATATAGATTCTGATGTCCTGTTGCAAATTCAAAAACAGCAAGTATTGACAGTCATCAAACAGATGAAACATGAATAGAAAGATGTTCATGTAAGACACCCACACAGGCAAACTTAATTTCTTACATAACTTAAAAATAGTTCACTGTTCCACACAAATGAATCAACAGAATGACTTCACACTTTGCTCAAAATATGGAATTCTTCATGGATTAATGTTGCAGCTCTCCGCATTGTTGTGTGACGGCTGTAACTCACCAGGATCCAGAGATCCATTATGTGCATGGTTTGTGGAGACAATCTTTGTCTTCGAAATCCTATGTCTCCGATTTCGCAAGTATAGGAAACTTCCAAGCAGGACACCCATGCAGATAGCTGCACCACTTACAGTGCCCACAACAATGGCCAGTGTCTGGCCTGTGAGTCCAAAAAATCCAGTCTCTGAAATATAGAAAAATATGTAACACATTAAGAGTAATGCCATGACCATTTTATTAACTGCTTTAAAGCACAACACATTCATCAGCAACTTCCATTGGTTGTATAGTCACATTAATGGTTCCTATTCCATAATCTTGCTCAAGGTGAATATTTCTTAACTTAATAAAATCAATATCCACCTTATTTACCACATTCTACTATGCTGTGGTTTGTATATGGGAGAAGATGTTAAGTGACTGATTAATTCTCGGTTTATTTTATGATTGTGCATCAAATACGTTTAATTATACAGCATCAAATAAGAAATTGCAGGTTGATTATGAATGATATTTCAGGAAAAATATGGAAGTGAACAGTCATTATTTATTATAAGGTTCTATCCTGGTATTTGTTTCGACAGACACAAAAATCATGAAAATCAGTGACGCTAGGCAGAGGAAAATCATGAAATAACAAGAAGAATAAAACTAGCGAATAATGCATATTTCTCATTACTATCAGTTTTTAGAACAAAGGATATACACCGAGCGATTAAAACAAAAATATATAAAACAATGATAAGACCGGTGCTTTATTATGGATGTGAGGGTTGGACGCTAAACAAGAAAGAGGAATCAGTCATCAGTTCTTTCGAGAGGAAAATCCTAAGACGAATTTATGGACCAATAAAAGAGAATGGGATATGGAGAATAAGATATAATAAAGAGTTATACAAATTATATAAGGAGCCAGAGATCTCAGTGACGATAAAGCTTAAAAGACTGCAATGGGCTGGGCATGTACAGAGAATGGATAAGGCGCGTATCTCAAAGAAAATATTATACAGTACAATAGGTGGTAGGAGACATGCTGGGAAACCACGAACTAGATGGATTGATGCGGTGAAGAAGATGCAAAGAAGTTAATGTGCGTAAGGAACTGGAAGAGAGCAGCGCAGCATAGAGAAGAATGGAGGGGCTTGATAAAGGAGGCCAAGGCCCGACATCGGGCTGTTGCGCCATAGAAGAAGAAGAAGAAGAAGGAGAAGAAGAAGGAGGAGGAGGAGGAGGCGGAGGAGCCAGTATCCCAGCTGAAATTCACGCTATGGACTTCTTGAATACATATCAGTTTTAGCCACTATGATGTGACATTCGTCGGTAAACTCAGCGCTATTGGCTTCATACATAAGGGCAGGATTCCACATTAAACTTCAGTGTATATAAAGATGACAGAATTGTTCCTTTTACATGCATGGGAACAACAATTTGGAACTTGCATTTTGTGAGTCCCTCCACATACATACAAAACAGCATCCCTATGGCTGAATGGATTTTCATGGAGTTTAATACAGGCAGCATTTAGCAGAACCTACTAATCAGATTCTAATATGGATGTATGAACATCGTGGATAGTATGGGGACTCTTACACATAAGTAAGTGCACTCACTGGATACCAACAGGCTGAAATGTTTTAACCAAAAATGACATGTATTTATAAAATGAATACTGTACTCTTTATACATTTTCAGGTACCACATCCTCATACTACTGTAATACATTAGTTATAAAGAATAAAGTATTAGAACATGGAAAAATCTTATCTGAATTTTTTTCTGCATGTGTAGAATTTAAATTCATGTGCATTTGAACACCATTTTTTATGAACATATATAATTTTTACCATCAACGCAACAATACTTTATTATTTATTTTTGTAGCATGTACTACATGTTTTGACCTCAAATTGGCCATCTTCAGGTGCTGCAAAAGAATGCAGTCGTTAAAATTAAAAATACCATTTTTAATTGGCACCATTGTTTCTCAATCCAGATCTTGAAAAGAAGATACAAACTTTTACAGGCATATGTGAAATTTAACATCAATGAGGAAGAATACTGAAAATTTTGCAAAGTTGCTAAGAAAAGTGATTTCACAACATACACTGACAATGTATACACAGATTTTATTATTCTATAATTACTTATTATTATTATTACTATTATTGCTAGTGGGGTGGGACTAAGTCCATTGTACTGCGGTCACTTCTGCCCTACTGTACCAGCCCCAGATGATAGGTGAGGGTGATTGTGGAACAATTGGTGGAATGAAGATTGGCAGGGGAAACCTAAGTGCTCAGAGAAAACCTGCCCCAGTGCCACTTTGTCCACCACAAATCCCACTTGACCAGACCCGGGATCGAACCCGGGCCACTGCAGTGGGAAGCCAGCGACTAACCGCTTGAGCTATGGCACGGCCCTTTTATTATTGTAAGACTCTTGCCACTTCTTAGGAACATCACCTCCACTGACGTTACAACAAAACAAAAAAAGGCCACAATTTTCTCTTACATACACTGAATCTATGTTTTCATTTTCTACAATATGTCTTATTAAGTCACTGTCAGCTGCATTAATTTAGTTACAAATGAGAAATATGTCTACTCTACCTTCAATACAGCTGAGTTTGCCCAGCTGATGTTTATTACCTAATTTTCCCACTAGCCCAGTATGATGACATTGAAATTAACTCTGTGTACTCTATGTTCAGACAGTGCACTAATGCAAAAATGTTGACAGAATATGAACATGAAAAATGCGCTATAAACAAACTTCACTGATGATGTTCCTACTGAAGGTATCTGTATTAGCTTCATAAGTTACTTGCACTGATGGTTTTAATTTAACAGAACTTAATTTCAACTTATTCTCATCTTGGCTTCATATGTATATGTACATGGTCAGCCCAACCTTACCATCTTATAACATTTACCAGGACGAAAAACATTAACATGCTTCCTTTCTATCTTAATATAGTCTGCTTTCCTCCAACTACTATTTGCAGAATGCCCCACATGTCAAAGCTGAAATTCACCCAAGAACAGGCCACATTATAAGCAAGGTACTCACCATAGCAGATTCTTCCCATATAGGATACAAAATTAGACCACTCTTCATGATAACCGGTAGGACATTTGTCCACACACTGCCGGGATCCCATTACGATAAGGTGGGCGCATTTGACGCATCGTGGTGTCCATGAGTCGTCACCATTGTTTGACCCCTTGCCTACATCACATCTTAAGCAATCCTTCTGCTCTCCACAGTCTGCACAAAGATTAATACTTCATATCATTTGTTTCAGAATTTAACATTCAACACATTTACTGAAAACTTTAAAGGATCAAAGGGTCATGAGTGTTATTTAGGTCACTATAAATCATACAATGAACAGAACTCCAGAGTAAGTAATTATGTATGCTTTACGTGGAGCACACATAGTAAAGACAAGCAGCGGCACGTACACAGGAAGACCACACAGAATAACACCTGTACAGTGTGGAACAAGAACTAGCCGCTCCAGCACTTTAGACATAGGGCGAGTAACCCTAACAATTTTAAATTCTAAATTTAAAATTTAGAGAAAATTTTAAAGGATTTTAAAATCATAACTAAAGATTTTATAGTGCTACTACAGGAAAATATGACGTGTGCAATATAATCTACATACCAGACACATATCAACGAGGTAGATGTTGATAATACGAAAAAAATAAATAAATAAATAACAATGTTTTTTAAATGTTAAATTTTAGACTGGGTTTCAGTGTGGCAGCAACGTTAAGAGTATACACCTGATGATGGCCGATAGAGGCCGAAACATGTAGTGTAGAAGAGAGCAAGATCAAAGACATATAATATATATTGTTTGCACTTGGGACGGAGTGTGTATCATTTACATGGGGAAACCCACCCTCTCCAATAACTAACTAACTAACTAACATCACTGCATGCAGTGGCTATGGAAAACTAACAAAAAACTAGATAGGAGGTTAATATAAACGTCGCTATCATATAAAAAATTAAAATGACTGAACCAACATTTCATTTTTAGATTGTGATTATCTGGATTACGTGTAGTCTGGTAGGTTACCAGTGTTTCACAGGAATCTGCTGCCTCTATCTTCAGGATACCTGAGGCTATGCAGTGTCATTATTGAGAAGACCACAGTGTAAATCGTTTCTAATATGAAAATCTAAAATCCCAAAATTGCAGTATGTGCTTCTAAATATACTGAAAAATATACCAGTAATATCCTCACTTAAGGTTGCTTTTGAGAGTACTGGATTTGAACACAAAACTTACAAAAATTTAAAATGGATGTAACTGAATGCTGATCTGATATGGAATCACTGAAATGGAATATTAAATGGGGGCTCCAGGAACACAGTGCTTTTCTGCAAAGTTGAAGAAAACTTAACTGCTGTTGAAAAATGGCTGGATAAAACATTTTATACATTATACTATCTATGAGTACCCTAATTACACAAATGGGACAGGGAATATGGTCATCATTGCTCCAATTACCACAAGAAGCATGTACAGTCTGTGATAAAAAACATTGCAAGAACATTTACACTAACGAAAATAATTAGTACATTACGACTGAAATTTCAAAGATGCAGGAGTTATGCAGAAATTAATGCCAAGGCCAGATCATAACAGAGAGTTTGAGAAACCATCGGGGATTTGAATGGCGGTCCGGTCGTCTTGTGGTGGGGATAGGTTACGAGGAAGAAACGCAGGAATGTGGCTGTACCGTTATGCGGGACGGATCACTTGACCCGTCGTCTCGAGGCTGAAGAATCTAGATCAGCCTCAGTCAACAACGCAACTTCAATCCAAACGACGGTAGAGAGTTGTACGTATTCCGTTACTGGCGAACTGCTCAAACCATGTAACAAGTTATGGGGAATCATTTACGGCGTGTATGAAATCTTTCAATCTACTCGTCTATGTGAGGCTGAGGAACTATAAATTAACCGTTACGGATATACAATTCTGTAGTTTATACTTCCCATGAATACCGACAACCACTGTGCTAAATTCGATAGGTATAAACTTTCATAGTGTCACCAAGTTCTCGATTTTAACACACACAAATATTTCATTTCAGTAAATTTGATTTGGTTCATCCTGTCCCGTCATACTAGCAGTAGTATAAAAGATTATAACGCCGTTCAGTGTGATTGATAAAGTTTGTGTTTTTTTTAATCTTTCATCTTTACATGTTTCGGTCGGAGTGGCCATCTTCTGAAGGACATTATCAATACATACGGAAACTACTATTACTTACTTACTAACGCATGGAGCTGAGCCCTTCTGGAGGAGAAGCCAATTCTGCAGCTACTCAAGAATTTCCCAGCATTTTATGGAACCCCGAAGGTTCATTACCGTGTTCACAAGAGCCCTCCACTGGGCCCTATCCTGAACCAGATCTATCCAATCCATACCATCCCATCCTATCTCTCTAAGATCCATTTTAATATTGTCCACCCACCTTCGCCTTGGTCTTCCCTGTGGTCTCTTTCCTTCTGGCTTTCCCACCAATATCCTATACGCATTCCTCGTCTCCCCCATTCGTACTACATGACCTGCTCACCTCATCTTCCTTGACTTGATCATTCTAATTATATTTGGAGAAGAGTACAAGTTATGAAGCTCCTCATTATGCAGTTTTCTCCAACCTCCCGTCACTTCACCTCTCTTCGGTCCAAATATTCTCCTCAACACCCTGTTCTCAAACACCCTCAGTCTATGTTCCTCCCTTAATGTCAGACACCAAGTTTCACATCCATACAGAACCACCGGCAAAATTATAGTTTTGTATATTCTAATTTTTATGTTTTTGGACAACAGACGAGAAGACAAAAGGTTCTGGACTGAATGGTAGCAAGCATTACCCGAGTTCAATCGCCTCTTAATTTCCTCCTGAATCAGGTTTCGATCTGTTATCGTTGTTCCCAAATATCTTAACTGTGCCACATTTTCAAAACATCTGTTTCCTATTTTATGACATGATTTTGCCCTGCATTTTGGTGACAAGACAGTAACATATACTTAGTTCTCTCTGTGTCTACTTCTAGACCAACCTCTTTATACGGAAACTACTATTACAATGTCATAAATATAAAATAAAATATTATCCTTTAACAATTACTGCGATGTGTATGAATTTGTTAAAAGGACACGAACCAAACTGGTTCTTGATTTTAACAAAATTTTCTTTAAACCATACTTGTAAATAGACTAATTATAATAATTTATAAATATTTTAACAAATACATGCACATCGCAGTAATTGTTGAAGGATAATATTTTATATTTATGGCACTGTATTGTAATAACAGTGTTTTTATGTATTGATAATGATCAATGACATTGTAATAGTAGTTCCCTATGTACTGATAATGTCCTTCTGAAGATGGGCGCTCCGACCGAAACATGTAAAGGATGAAAGACTAAACCACACTGGACGGCGTTAATAATCTTTTACAATATTTCATTTACATACACAATCTCATAAGACCACTTCCAATGGTTCATTAGTTATCGCCTTAAAATGCTAAATATATCATTTCATCAATCCTGGCCATACTCTTTACATTCTAAAGACATAACCTCCCGGCGTCATTGCCTATTTTAATTGGTGCTGGTTTCTCTCCCGCCTCCAACGTCATATACCCCCTTGCTGGTTATTACTTTCGACGTAAAATTAAAACGTGCACAAGAAGAATGGATGTGGGGGGGGGNGGCATGTCTCATGAAAATTCGTTGACTGGTTCAAAAGATTTCGGAGTACAGAGGGCGACATAATTCCATGAACCCGGTTTCCTCAAGGAAAGCAGTTTGATAAATCAAAAAGGATTTTCTTGCAATGCCCGAATAAGATGATTCTCGAACTCTGTTCCCCAAAATTCCGTGGTCTGGCAAAAATGTTCTAATAAGAGAACAAAGAGAGCAATAATTCTTAATTATCTGAGAAGTGTTTGTCTCATATTATTGCAGTTTCGTTATCTGTATTTCTGGGAGCATCTTCTACACGAAGACGAATTATCCTGGCGAGGAAGGACAGTGCGAAAAGCTTTAGAAAATCAGTGACGTACTGTGTTCCTCACATATTTATATAGGTGAAATGTTATCTATTTATGAAGTCCCTTGTTCAAACAAAAACAAACAAACTCTGTGGCTTGAATCCGCGAGTGAACAAGCGACCGCCGCTTGTCGGCGAAGTTAGTGCCAACTTTAGCGGATAGATGATGTCGCGTGGTAGCGCAACGAATCCCCACGGCCGTTAATTTCAGTTTTCTAGATAGGAGCCGCTATTTCCATAAAATAGTTCCTCAATTATCCTCACGAGGCTGAGTGGACCGCGTTCTAGACCCACTACTTCTCTGAAAATCTGGTAGCAGCAGGAATCGAACCCGGAACTCTGGATCTGTAAGCAGGGACTCTGACAAAAAGACCACAGAGGCGGTCCAGTCCCTGGTTCTACAGAAATTCAATGGAAATCATGCATCTAGGTATTCTCATCACAGTATATGTTGTGTTCTGTAAATTTAAATAACATTATCCAGATCATAGTGCGAGTTGTGCTCAAGAGACCACACGTTAACACGTTACTAAATATAAAAAGTGTGATACTCCGTAAAGAAAAACGAATGACGCAGACAGGCAACCAAGTTGGTCAACCTCCCACGATTCTCATAGACACAAACAGAGGAAACATTTAAATTGCGGTCTTCTGGGTTATGCCATCGTGCAGTTTTGTATGTGGTTACTAACGTGTCCGAGAATCCTGCTGCATCCATATTCTACGACAACGATGGAGGTAGCAGGTCCTCCACAGCGCCGGTAACCACCTATCAGACCTCACGGCGCAATACCTCTGCAGACAATATAATTTTTCACCGCCGCGATAACCTCAAAGCTTATAGAAGTTTCAACATTACATTCAATCAGGGTTGTATTCAGTACTATTGACGACTTTACGCTTCCCTTCCTGCGTTTCATTTACCTACTAAGTCTTCCAAATACAGTGTGGGTTCTGTCCGAGTGTTTCGTCCAAACTTGGAAACACGAAATGTTTCCTAACATGTTCTGGGCACTGTGCTCGACAGGATGATCCTGCCCCTACCGGGAATCTAATCCCGTCTACTCAGTCGTAGCCCTTCGCGCGCAGAAATCGGCACTCAGTCCTGACTGGGGCTCGAGCCGTGGATCCTTCAAACGAGAGTCCAGTATTTCATCTCGAGACCTCTAGGTACCCGTTCAGAGCTAAAA